TGACATAAATGTCGTACCCATCGTTATGGTGACAAAGTTAAACCCTTGCATAAAAAGGTACATGTATCAGAAAAAAACTAAATTTGTACGTTCAATTCAAAAGGAAAAAAAACCGTATACACTTATTTACAATTCTTCTTTAGTTGCAGAGCAAACATTACAACAAAGGTGATCTGATCATAAGATCACAATGACCAATTGAAACTGAATAAAATTCAATGAAATTGACGTGTGCATGAGATGAACCCCAACTAAGGCGGGATTTTTAACTACCTACTAAAAAAGTAAAATGGTACTTAAACACTCTTAATTGGCTGTGGTTTGTGAGCAGTTAATCAAATTCTTCATAAAGAGTGCTGGATTCTAATAAGTTAATGAATTCTGAATGATGATGTTGTATTGGCCAATTTGACAGTCTGCTCACTGCACGATCGAAAATTTGATTTGCTTTTAACTGGTAATTTATCAAAGAGAGACTTTGAAATGATATTGATACTACTACCAGTATCTAACAGTGCAGTAACTTGCATACCTTGGATCTTGACTGGCATGTACATAAATTCCCCAACACTATTTTCATCACATTCACTTTCACTATTTACACTTTCACAAAACACATTTTCACAATCTGAAATGTTGGCACTATCACTTTCACCGCCACAGGCTATGGGTGCCTTTTGCAGACTGGGCGCGGTTAGTTTCCCGCAACGGCGACCTTTTTACAGGCCAAAGCACTGTGTCCGTTTTGCTTACAGATCTGGCACAATACGGATGGTTCGCGGGGTCCCTTTCCGTTCCAGTTGCACTCAGCTTGTCGATGGTTTGGGCCAGTGCAATTGTAACACACGTATCGGGAATTCCTAGTTGGGTGGGCTGGAGCTGGTCTTGGGCGATAGGCGGATTTTCTCTCTGGGTCCCTGACCTCTAGGTCGGTCCATTCGTTCCACGAGCTGCGACAAAAGCTTCTCCATGTTGGTAGAGGCTGCGGTGGGTTCCTTGGTAGTAACGGCAGCGACCGAAACTGGAGCTGTAGACTGGCGATATCCATAAGCCTCTCCGAGTTTGGCCTGCTGGAATGCGGCTTGGAGGTTCTTCGGATTGGCCGCCCTGACAAAGAAGGCCAGTTGCTGGCGGAGTCCATTGATGAATTTTGCTGTAAGGTCCCTCTCTGGTTTCTCCAGTCTGGACCCCTTTTCAAGGACTAGGCTGTGGAAGCCTTCTATGGGGGCCCCAGGCTGGAGGGTCAAAGCGTCAAATATTGCGGATTCCGCGATGATCGCTGGATCGTATAAAGATTTGCTGAGGTACTGCGCATTGAATGCATCTTTGACCACAGTCCAGGAAAGTTTATCACTTGACTCCAGTGTAGTAAACCACACAAGTGCTGGTCCCTTTAGGTGCAAATGAAATGCGGCTATCATTCTACTATTGTCTTTTAAATTCTGCAAAGTGCAGAAAGATTCAAATTCCTCCAGAAACTTCTGGGCATTTTCGCTTGTGTAGCCATGAAATTTAGTAAGTTCAATTTTAGCAGAAATCGCTACGGGGGAGGTCACTGGTTGACTATCTGCTGGCATTTCGAGAACGGTCTGATTTGGGGAACAAAATCCAAAACATTCAGAACTGTTGTAATCCATGACGTAATAATAAAAAGTCCCAAAAAAAAATGATTTAGATTCTCCACCATGTAATAAATTGCCAAGTTGATAAGTCAGGTTTAAAGTTTAGAATTTATTGCAAGTCCAAAAATATGAATTTCACAAATACAATTTCGAACAACTGAATTTAACAACGAATTTTCCTAAAAGTGACTCACTTACAAACTCACTCACATCTAATCTTTGACAACTCCGCCCACTCTCGTACTGACCAGCCAATTAAATTAAGGATAGAAAATTGCAAGAACAGGGGGAATCCGTAAGACATTAATTTACAACACTGAAATTAGGTAGAGCTAAGCATAACAAATTCAAAGAACACGATCCTAAGATCTAACCATAAAGTTGATAACAAGTATGAGCAAATGACATTGATATCGTGAGGCAGGAAAGAGATGTCAAGAATTAGATATTGGTAACATGTGCAAAAATGCCTTTCCTAAACATCAAATGAAAACAATTAACTTTCAGCTACAGATGTCAAACAAGACCGAAAAGTAATAGACAATTATATAAAAATATACCGTATTCATAATTAATAATTTGTCATTTATAAACCCTTATAACCCATAATCATAACAATGTTACAAAAGAAGATTAAAAAAATGGAAGATACACAGCTAGGGACAAATGATAAAACAAACAATCAAAAACACAAAAAAAACAAACAAATAAACAAAAAACAAAACAATAATTTGTTGTCTCATTCAAAATTTCCTTCCTCAATTCTTGTAAGTATTAGAAATTATAAATTTATCTTTTCAATTTGCAGAACCTAAAAATGCCCCAGGAATATGTTCATTCAAAAGTCTTTTAAAATATTTCTGTAGGAAAAGTATTAAACTTTTTAATTTTGGAATAAGAAAATATAACATAATACATTACCAGATAAGGAATAATGCTAGTAATCTGAATGCAGATTTATATAATCAACATTCAGCAGAAAATCCAATGTGTGAACATTGTACTGATTGTTTTGAAGATGCCTATCATTACTTTATTGTTTGTCCAAAATATACAAATCCAAGAGATGTACTTTTTCAATCAACACATGATATTATAAAAGGTGACAATATTCCTGAATGTGATTTATTTTTAAATGGTAGTTCTAACCATGGACTTGATATTAATATACAAATATTTGAAGCTGTACATACATTTATAGCAGCAACAAAACATTTTATATAAGACTTTGTCAGATACAACATATATAGGTGTAATTTTTATTGGTTAGAAATACTCCCAAACCGGTACTACTTTGTATTTTGTCTTTTCTCCCCTGTAATTTGCCCTTTTTGTTATTTTGTTCATTCTATTTTTCTCTTTTGTACAATTTTCTTTATATGACTTTTTCTGTTTTTTTTTTCTATGTTACTTTGTTCATTTTTGTTTGTGTTTTTTTCTCTCTTCTTTTGTACATTCTCTAATTATTACTATTTGTTTTGTACCTTGACCTAAATGTAGGGAGAGGGCTAAAATAGGCTGCGCCTGCTGCCCAATCCTATTCACGATACCATCAGTGAATAAAATATTGTTTAAATTAACCTAAAATCTACATTTTAAACAAAAAAATAGTTATTCTCTGGCCCAAGGCAAAATATACCACACTTCTCTTTATTGTAAGCGTGTGCAGAAACATGAATAATTAACCAGATAGGTCCCATGAAGTGGAGTGTCGGTAGACAAAGGATTTTGATACAATCTCCGAATTTTTTTTTTCATAAAAGTCACTGACATAACGTTGATATGGACAATAACAATGCGATAGATATGATTGATAGAATCTTTGTTTATTTTTCTGCACTTCTATTTTACACTTTCTTTCGTTACTTTTTAACTTGTGTTTTTTAAATACATCCTTTAAAATCAATAAAATTTTATACCTCAATTTAATCAATGTTTGTTTAATCAATTGAATAATTGCCCATTACAGTTTCCTTACTTGAAGGAAAAAACCTTTGCAGATTCGATAACGGGTGGTAAAAATAGTTCCGGTTTTCCATACCTGACGCAGCGCCTTAGGTTAGAAAAATTTTACGCAATTAATGTAATGTAAAATTATGTAATTATCTTACTGTAATGAGATCCAAAATGCCCTGACAGTCGGACTCGACTGCTTTACGTACGACAACTGACATGATTAAATATTTAAACTAGGTCAAAATGTGTCCAAGGAAAGTACGAATGATTAAAAGTGTCATAAAAGTTATTCGTGAGAGTGAACGCAAATTTATTCATTACGTTATTGGTGCGGCGATATTGAGGCCTTTAATGACCTTTAATTTCATGACCTGCAAAAAAAAATTAATTAAATTAATAAAATGAATTAATTTTAAACAATTAATAAAATTAAATTCTGTATGCCATTGAAGGAAATATTTAATGATTTTAATGATGATATGATAGGAACGTGTAGAGACAAAAAGTTTAAACTGATTGTACGTACGTTTAAAAAAAAATAGTGCTCTGTGAAAAAAACAGAAAGAAGCAATGTCTATGGCACGCCAAATTCATAAAAATGAGATAAACATAGTTTCACATTCGATAAACTAGGTTTATCGGTTGTAAACTATAGTTTACGGACTGTAAACTATAGTTAACAACGTTAATCTATATTTTACATCCGTAAACCATAGTTAACGCGATTATCTATGTTTCACAACCGTAAACTATACTTACCGGGTAACACTGAAAACAATCATTTTCGATTGCAAATCATAGATCATCTGATAAATACAGTTTCACGATTTCTAAACTATAGTTTACAAACCGTTAACTATAGTTAACGATCTGATGAATATAGTTTCACGATTTGTGAAACTATGATTAACAACTCTTAACTATAGTTTACGATTGTAAACTATAGTTTACAAACGTGAATCTATGTTTATCAACAAAATCTATTGTTAACGCTTATTACAGACAGATAAACTTAGATTATCATTCGTAAACTATAGTTAACAACCGTTAAATATAGGTTTACAGATGAAAACTATACTTAACGAATCGTTAACTATAGTTTACGATTTGTAAACTATAGTTTACAGTCGATAAACCTAGTTTATCAATTGTGAAACTAGGTTTATCTCATTTTTGTGAATTTGGCGTGCCATAACTGTCAGATATAAAGCTTTGATCACGTTCTTTTCAACTTCTTTTTCTAATAATATTCACTATATACGTAAATACCTGTCCTTAAAAAAAACAAAACAATTACAATGTATATGTATTAAAGTATTATAGCTGACTATAGAGATTTGCAGCTAGAATAATTTAATCAAAAGTCAGCTCAAAACTGATACCCTTTTGATAACTAGTTAGTGCCTTGTAGACGTTTAGGAAATGACTGGAGTCGTTCCCACACAGGACTCATTTGGAACCTTAAAAGATGGCATACCTGTCACGAGGTAATTTACACCAGATTCTATTAATAACATGGATATTTTTATGTCCTAATTTTTATTGTTATCCACGTAGATTAGATTTTCACATTTAGAATACAAGACCTATCTTCTAAATTTACATTTTCTTTTTATTTTCTGTAAAATTCCAAAAATGAATGCAAAATCAGTATGAGTTATTGTTTACGATATTTTTAAAACAGGTTTAGTTTCACCAATCGAAATAATGTGACCATTCGTGTAATTAATTTTGGAGCCACAATAACTGATATTCTTCTTCCGGACAAAAACGGAAAAATCGAAGACATTAGTCTAGGTTTCGATACAGCACAGGGTAAGCGTTATGTCCTGTAAAGTTGGATCCGTTACTAAGTTTATTTATTAATATGTCACGTAATGATTCTGTAAAAGAGTCAGATTCGAAATCAAATGTAAAACGTTTTTGCTGTCGAATGATATCTCTCACAGTATCATGCAGAGGAAATTTATGCTCAAACTTTTGAATTTATGTACATGTAGATTACGAATCCCAGCATTCCTACATCGGTGCAGCTCTTGGACGCGTCACAGAGAGGATAAAAGGCGCAAAATTCAAAATTGACGGAACTGAATACAAAGTGTCTGCCAATGACAATGATAAGCACCAGGTTCATGGCGGGAAAATTGGTTTTGACATGGTCAGTGTAAAATTTATAGTACCTTATGCTTTTAAACAAGGACAATATCATTAATTGTGTAGTTCTTATACCTTCTTTGCAATTTACACTACCCTTTGATTTCAAATTAAAATGTAAAAAAAAAACTGAATGAATAATTTGTAAAAATAGCCACAACAACAATTTAACAAAATAATAATAATTATGCCAAGTTCTTATCACTGCCTACACCTTTGCTAGCCAAGAGTTTCTGATCTGCTACTCTCCTTAGAAAACCTTCAGTTGGTTATCAAAGATGAAGACTAATAACCATCACTATACTGTTAACTTATCTGAAACTCCTTAAAGGGTTAATGCAGCAATTTTTTCATATATGATTCACTTATTCACAGAAAATGTTTGAGGCCTCGGTTGCCGGAGACACGGTTACAATGAAGTACGTCAGTCCTGATGGAGAGGAAGGTTTCCCGGGGGAGGTAACCGCGGTGTTCACCTTCCGGTTTACTCAGGACAATGAGTTAATTCTAGGATACACTGCCACTACGACCAAACCTACGCCTGTCAACTTGTCTAACCATGTGTATTTTAACCTTGCAGGACATGTAAGAAAAATCAATTTTTAACTGTTTCAAGCACACACCCACACCCTTACACACACTTGTAATAAAAAATCATATTTTAATGTACAAAAAATCGGCTACATACCGGAGAGAAAAAATATACATGTTTTTTTTATGTTGTAGCTTTTTTCCATGAGGAAAATAAATGTGTAAACTTCTTATAACAGGCACAAGTTTTTATTCGTTTCTGAGCTATTTTTCACTTATATTTGATAGGCTATATAATCTACTGCTATATTCTACAGGAGAGACAACTCAAAAATGATCTTTGAAGAGTTTATTTACCTGTTTTTGTCTTTCTCCATGCATTGTTTCATTAGTCATCCCCTTTTAGGGCGATTCATTGTATCATTGCACTCAGCAATTATTGTACATATCCTCCCTTAGTCCTAAAACACAAATACAGTATATATATTTTATATTACACTTCCCATTTCAATACGATAGTTTTGTTAACTGCTATATTCTACAGGGTGCGGGTAAAATTGGTGACCATGTTCTGACTGTAAACAACCTATTCCACTGGAACATATGTACATTGAACATACATGTATGGTACTCAAAACATATGTTGAACATACGTTGAACATATGGTACTCAAAACATATGTTGAACATACGTTGAACATATAGTACTCAAAACATATGCTGAACATACGTTGAACATGATTATTTTTAAAACTTGTTGGATATTTTAATAAGAATTTTTTGTAACATATGAAAAAAACATATTTTAAGGTAACGCAACGTTGTGAACATTATGCAACTCAAAACAGTTCCACTAAATGAAGGACATGTGTGCAATGTCTATATTTGGATTTGTACACCTCTTCTAAAATAAATTTTGATGAAAAAAAAGTTGGAGTTTATGATTTGTAATTTTTGTACATTTTTTTTGAAATATGCATATATACAAAATTTGATATCTTTTCAAAACCCTTGATAAGGCATGCTATTTTTTTAAAACTTGTTTGGATATTTTAATAAGAATTTTTTAAAAAGGTATGAAAAAATGTTTTAAAGGAACGGCAAAAAAAATTTCACTTGTAGGGACAATTTCTGAGGTAAAGGGCACGCCCTTTGACTTTACCATACCTTCGCAACTGAGGGACAGAATGAAAGATGTTTTAGTTTCCAACTACGTTTTTGGTGAACATGGGAAAAGGAAACACGTTGCAAAGTAAGCATTACAAATAGCTCGACATCCGTGGCTCGCAGAATTGGAAAAGCGTCTAATAGTCACGCTGACAATTTAAACTTATTGATGTGATAAATCAAGGCTGTATTATCTGTTTGCAATATATTTTACATGTATACATACCTAAAATGGGAAATTTTAATACACGTTTAGATTTAAAAGGGGTGTTTTATTTACTTTCGGGATTTGTACGCAGGGGTTGTGCAGACAATTAGTTATATTTAACTGTCATTAAATCGGTATTACTGAAATGCTCAAAGTTCGGGGAATTTCAAAGGTGTCAGACTATTTACTGTCTTCAAATTTGAAAAGAACTTTATTATTATTTTTTTCATATTATGCATTTTTAATGAAGAAAAATGCATTCGAAAAAAATAAATAAATCTAGACTTTTAATAAAAAATTGTCAATTGAATGTGGTGAATGTTTTTTTTTTCTTTTAAATAACAGTTGGATATTTTTATACCCTCGCCATGAAATTGTCGGGGCCTAGTGCTGTTACCCCTTTCCTCTATCATTCCTTCACTTTATCATTTCGTCAGTTAGTGATCCAGAATGTTTTCGCTATGCTTTATTTTTAGTATTTCTCTTCTTATGATTACTTTCAGTTAAAGTCCAAGTCTCGTATTGATTTACCAAACAAGTTATGGCTCTCAAAATTTGAAAAGTTTTAATAATTAATGAACCTTATTAGCTATATACTATTACATAATGATTTGTTTCTTTTGGTATAAATTTTGTTATTACTGACCTGCAGGTCAATTTTTTAGTTTTCTTTTTATTGGCCCATTTTATGAAAGTTATGGTCTTTAGGCTCTGAAATTAATGCATCGAGTTATTCAATTCCATACGTCTTTTTTTCTTTGTAACAGACTTGAACTTCCGGTCAATGGTCGGACGGTAGACTGCTATACAACAGAGCCCTGTATGGAGACTTATTTCTCCTGTGCGATGAGGAATATGACTGGCAAAAATGGCGCCTCCTATGGTGCTTACGAAAATGGCGGCATCTGTCTAATTCCTATGCAATATTCCAGTGCTGTTAACATGGTGTGTAGTCAGTTTTAAGTTTATACTTTGACAGTGTGTGTTTTTAGTAAACCAAGTTTGTCCTAAATAATGAAAACAGATCATAACCGTGAATGATACTTTTTTCATAAATGAAAAAAATACATTGACATATTCACCGTTGTTCATATTGGTTGTATAAAAAAATTTTCAAGATAAAAATTGCCGCCTGATTGCCACTCATGCTGACTCTACTTTCCTGCCATATTTGTCACCATACAACAAAGCATAATGAACAACAGATGTAGAGAAGAAATAGTCTTTTGAACACTAAAGAATGAATTTGCAAGTGTATTGTTTATCGGCAAAAATTCTAATTGTTATAGATTAATTGTCAGAAGTCTTGAATGTGTGTTAATTTCTATTGCAGCCCAATTTTCCAAACATGGTACTCCGACCCGGAGAGACATACACACAGACGACGTCATACAAATTTGGCTTTTAGCTTCACAATTAACTCAGAAAATACACAAACTTGTATCTAATCATAGTCTGTATATTTATAAATATCTTTAAGCTGTTCCGTTATGTCCATTATGTGTAAATGTCATTTAACACAGCTTTTTAAATACCAAAAGTCAGAAAGAAGATTTGTGTTATTTTTACTTCCTTTAAAAACTTTGTTTATTGTAACCTATAAATTCTCCCAGGATTAATTGTTTTTAGCCTTTTGCCCGCGTATTTTAACGCCAACTACTTATTTCACGGGGAGGAATTCTCTTCAAAGTTAATCCTGGTATTGAACTAAAACATACGTGACTTGTTTAAAGTTTTTACATATACGGCTGTCTGTTTGCAGAACCACAGCTCTACTGGTTAAATAAATCCTGTGAACGGGTCTTAGATTAAACCACGAACTTTAGAGACCCAGGTTGCAATCTTTTTTGAACCATTTTTAAGTGGTTGTCGTAATTTGGAAACATTTAGCTTATGAAAAGAATCTCCGCAGAAGTTCTTAAGGAAAATGTATCGGAAATTGTCAAGTTTTAAGGGGATCTTACTGTTCCTGACGAAATTATAGAAATGCAGGTGGAACATTCCTCTCATAGTCTCTACCACAACCGATCTTTTTCCAATACACCTGTGCGTACCTTTATAAAGACCCCGACAAAATCAAGACATGTTCGATTCTACGATGTCGGAACCAAAAGTACCCGCTCCAGTGCGACATCTGTCAGACGGTATCTAGACTACAGCCACAAAAGTTCTATTCCTAGAACTAATGGCTATGTCTCTCCTGGAAAATCTCCCACGCAAAGTATTTTGGATAAAAACGGTGAGATGCGCCATGTTGAATCTTCCACCAGAAGTGATAATAACGTGAAACGTTCGTCAATGAACAAATCTGAGGCCAGTACGCCTCGTTACAAATTTCACTCTGGTAGCCACACTCCCGACAGTTCACTCCTACTTGGATCCAAGAAAGACGTATCTAAAGCCAAGGCTCGGAATGATAATTTTAGCTTTGCTGCAAAATCAAGTATTGACGCCGATGAAGTGGATGATACGGACAGTTATTCCAAAAGATCGGTTTCGGTCAAAGACAATTCTAAGACGGTTACGAGGCAAACGTATGGGAAGTCTGAATTTACAATTTTACAGCAAGATCAGAAAAATGACAGATCCCCTCGCACAAGTCCAAAAAACAAGCAGGAGGTTCGAGTTGGATATCAGAGAAAGGAGGAAGCAAATAAAAGGTACATGTAAACATGGAGTGGAAAAAAGGGAAAGGTTTTATCAAAGTTTAATTTGCAATTTCGTACATTTTTTTGCACTAGTACTGTTCTTGCAATTATTTTGTAAATTCCTCGTTGATGAGAGGTTATTGAGAGAACGTCATTTTCGAGATTGTCTTTCAATAATGTTCTCATAAAAGAAAGAAAAAGAGGATATAGTACTGATATACATCTTGTTTATAACCCACTCTCTGTCCTTCAGACTTTTCAGATCCATCTGCCATCTGGTCTATTATAATTGCTCAACGAAGCCCAATAAATTGTCTACTATAACAGTATTATGCATAGTCAAACCCATGCGTAAATACTGTTAGTAAATACATTGCATTGTATAGCATGATAGAGAATGCTTGAAATCAAATTATATTCTATAAGTTGCTTATGATGTAGGTGAATAACAAACGGTGGCTGTCGTCGAATATCATTTTTGGATATCGGGTATATATCTCTCAGTTGATACGATACGAAAGAGTATGCTTTTCGTTCGAACAGTTTCCAAAACCAGGCAAGTTGTTAATAACAAGTTGATGAAACAAGAATATCAACAATCTCGTTTAAAATCACCATTACACAAGTTCTATAGCCGAAACAATTGCCTTAACATGAACAATCTATCATTCAGTCAAATGATTACTAACGATTTCATACTGATTGTTTGTCTACGGATTCTTTCCGTTTTTCCCGATCATGACAAGGAGCACCACTCAAAAGGGGATCATAACTCCTCCAAGACATCAGATCCCACCTCTGATGTTTTAGAGGTCCGTCTTAGCTCTGCGCCTGATTTGTATTATTTGAATGGACTTTTGAGCTTAAATATTGTTCGCTTTCTCCACATGGTAAATGGACAGAAAGGGTTTCTTTATATTTAAAAGGCAGTGTTTTGCACATGTAGTCGCAAATCAGTAGTCAATTCCTCAGTAAGGCTTATCCTCTGTGCATTATATACTAGTTCCTGTATATGGTATTCTTTGTGCTGTTTTACACTGAATATGCTGAAATACTTGATGTGGATTAAAGGTTGTAATTTCGAAATATGTTTCAAAAAAAATTGTGTTTTAATGCTGAAAGAATTATATAATAAGCTTTTGAAATACCTGATGATAATAAATGTGTAATGTAATTGTTTTGGAGCATTATGTAAGTGACATTCATTCGATGACAGCTCGGATGTCGGGCTTCCTGGAAATGTACACTGACAATGAACATTTCTAAAGAGCCGAGTACGTCCTTCGATCTAATTTTCAACATAAAAACGAAATCTTGTCAGGGCGGGCAGTTTATCCCTGAATCCTTGGTGTTAATGTTTAAATCAATTTGGTATACTAGTACCCGGGAGAATTAAATATACAGAGACTGTATTATGTTGGCCACAGTTTTGTATAGAGACAAAACATTTACGATTGGAAACTGTTTGGGGTTCAATTATTTTTTAAACTACCGCGTACAAGTGTTTGGTTTTTTTAATAGTGTTTATCAATACTTCTATTGACTCTTTACTCCGAGGATTTAATTGGTTCTGGGTTATATACGACGTTTACGGGTATGAAGTATTGAACACCAAACCAAATAGTTAAAAGTGCTACCGTTCCTTTCCTATAAAGTCCATGCTTACAGTGTACTTCAAACAAGACCCCTCTGTGTTCTGCAATGTATATCTTTGTTCGGTACCTACAGTGTGTAGCATGTGCCCGAAGAATAAACAAAAAACTCTTAAACGTATTGAAAACCAATTCAAACCGTAAAACTGTTACAAGATCATCATTTCACTGCTTTTGATCGCCTACCATTATTTTTGGTATTGCATCTGGGTGCAGGCAATTGTACTTAGATTTAAACATGCATTTATGTATAAAAATGCCTTTTAAATTGCATGCTGCCAAATATAATTATATAGTGCTAAAATGGTTTCATATTGCACATTGATTTGTTATTATAAGTTAATAATGGATTCTATTTCAGCTTGAATACCATCAAATTAGAAATATTTGGAAGAGATGTTAACAATGAGAAGTTTATGTACATATCAAATGTCCATTTAAATTTGAAAGCAAACATCAGATAATTTTATCCATATTATAGACATACCGGTAATTATCACTCAGAATTAATGAAGTCGCAATTTTGATTCTCAAGTCAATACTGTTTAAAATTCACAATCACAATTTATATGTTTTAAAACTATTTCCTCATTTTTTGTTTCGCTTCGATTTTTTTATTTTATCTATTAAATAGTTTTTGATATTGATTTATATGGCCACTGAAAGCATGGAATAGTCAAGGATTTTAAAATCTATGTAATATGTTTACAAGGCAAGTGTTTAAAACGGAATGCTTGCAGCGTTGGGTGTCTTGGTTGAATCAATTAGTGAAGCCTTTAATTCGCCTTTAATCTCCAACCAAAGGATCGTGTTGATATATGCCATTTATGAATCGGAATACACTCTTGCGACATGATACGTACCTGTTAAAAAAAGTTACTTTTATTAGTATTTACACAGTTTTAATTTGAAATTTGTGATTGGACGGAGCATGTATAACATTTTGGATAATTCGAATTTGGACTATCACTATGGCAACCACTTTGCCTCCTGTGAAAAAAGTAAATTTTCTGGTGTCCGATGCCAATGAAGCGCCTGGTGGGTAGGTATATCATTTTCTTTAAAAAAAAAAGTTCTTTTGAGAATTGACATGAAAAAATAGCAATTTCATATAAATTAATATGATGAATACATGTGATAGGTTTGAGTAAGGGAAAGGAATCAAAGAGCGTGAAATGAGATTTTTTCAGCGAAATTAAAAAAAACTTTATCAGTTTGACTCCAGTATAGTTTCCCAAAGATTTTAATGCGATCACAACAATTTTGAATAGAGAAATCTTGCTTTATTTTAAAGAAAATTTTGAGGAAATATTAAAAAAAAAATAAATATATTTAAAAAAGACTGTTTTAATTAATAGATATGGGTAAAATCAAATAACATGAACAAGTGTTAGATTTATAAATACATGTATATTAAAAGTTGAATACTTTTAGGCCATTATGTGCGTATTATGAACAAAAGACATTTATAGTTTACCCCCAAAATGCATTTTTCATCAAAATGCACACAAGTTCTCAATAAAAAGGTTATCAAAGACTGTTTACTTGTATATGCTCGACAGATATTTATACTTGAGTAAATAACACCCTGTCAATATCATTTTATTTCTTATCTTTTAAAGTTGATCATATTACAAGCATGTCCGAATAATCATGTAGCTAACAAGAAAATAAGAATGATCCATGAAATTCGAACGAATTTTTGTGAAACGAAGATATATATTTCAGTTTGTGGCATTTTGTGACGAGAAACATTATATTTGACTATTTTCTCTCGGTAAACGTGACTTCTACGCACTTTTAGGAGACCATAAATTCAGAGATCAAAACTGGTACCTAAAAAGACCCACCGTGACTTATTATTGGACCAAAGATTCTTTGTATTTATCGAGATCTCTAACTTGGATTCATAAAATGGTTTGTGAAAGTAAAACAAGTGTAAAACTGGCAGTATAACGTTTGCAAATATGTTATTCCTCTCTAGTACCAGACCTTGTTTTTCGCGGAATTAGTTTTGTCCACGATTCAAACAATAAAATTCTTCTAAAAAAGAATTATTTTAAAGTTTGCTCGACTGGTTTCTAGAGTAAAGACCTCTGCAAGATTTATAAAAGGGAAAGAAGATCCAAACATTGAATCGTCTGATTTGCAACGCCTAACATATTATAATAATTACTCAGTATACATGTACATGTAGTTCAAAGGCTAAGATCATTTTTTATCAATGCCCGGTTCACACGGAGAGTTTAATTCGAATTAAACGTAAGTCAAATTGTCTCCTACTGTATTCCTACTAATTCCTACTGTATTGAAGTTTTTTTTTTTATTTTTGGTTATCCATATCATAAAATATGATCTATCTTTATAAAAAATTTTGAGACAAATTGGAGAAAAGCTGCTTCACATGCTAAATAAAGTCTGGTATAACTTTTCTAAAATGAAGACCATAGGAAATATATAATAACTAGTGTTCCTTCAATATTGCCACAATGCATAATTTTACTATTGGTTTTAGGTTAACCATTACAGCATTGGGAAGCAAAGCAATGGTTTTAAGATGTTACAAAAAATTCCTCGTGACGCAATCTGCTTTAAGAAAATTTGAAATCGAAAAATCAATGACATTAAAACTTGCAAGTTTTCAATACTGTGTACAACCATTCCCCTTTATGAATTAAAGTCAATGTTTCTTGAGATCATAGACAGCTGCTTATTCAATAAAAATGGACCTCGTAAATTTACATACTTTGTCATTAGCTTGATTAAAAATCATTTTGATTGTACACAGAAGTACTCTGAAGTAGATATTAAAAAGATACATGGGTTTTTGATTTACAGTATTTATGTAATTTTTGGAGATCAGGTCTTCCAACAATCTGTCGGATTTTTCATGGGGACTATGTGAAGCAGAATTTATTTAAAAAAACTTCTAAATAAAAATACACTGTAGTCTGTAAGTCATTTGTTGTGCTCTTGAATATAATTCGAAATAATTTGATGACGATATATCAATTAACAATATTCATTTTAATTCCTACGTTGATTTATTTGATGTATCCCGATGAACTCGAAAGAAAAAATACACAGAGTCTGACACATCTCATATTTTCGATAATTTTTTTCAAGTCTAAAAAACATTAAATGGTGACGAAACCACAAATGTTCATTTCTATCATCAACCTTTTTATGAAGTATTATACAATTACCACCTGCATAATTTATTGAGTTTGTGTCTCCCAGTTGATTCGATATCATGCTCAACGTAAGAACAATTTCTTAATAAACGAGGCAAGTTATTGACAAATCAGTTGACGAAACAAGAATTTCAACAGTCTCATTTAAATTCAACATCTGGCTAGT